TGGATTGGAAAAGACCTTAAAGATCTCCTTGTTCCAACCCCCTGCCATGGCCAGGGACACCTTCCACTATCCCAGGCTGTTCCAAGCCCCATCCAGCCTGGCCTTGGACACTTCCAGGGATCCAGGGGCAGCCACAGCTTCTCTGGGCACCCTGTGCAGTGCCTCCCCACCCTCACAGGGAAGAATTTCTTCCTCATATCCAAACTAAATCTACCCTTTCTCAGCTTAAGCTATTAAACACACCCAGGACTGAGCTTTGACAGAGACACTGAGCTGCTGGAAAAGCACCCCCAGCACTATGAAATTCTCCAAATCCCTGGGAGAAGTGGCAACATCCAGACTCTTGTTTAGAATTGTCTGTCCTTGGCTCACTCCTAAACTGGACACTGATGTTTTAACCTCCATTATTCCCATACAAATCTCCCAGAGGTAGTTCTCATTTTAATGTCCCTTGAAATAAGTCATTGAAGTACCTGCCCATCTTATAGCAGCTACCTCAGAGGGTAAGAATTGAGCTAAAGTTATTTTAAAAGAATTAAAGATTTAAAGTTATTTTAAAAGAACTGAGCTAAAGTTATTTTAAAAGAATCCCAACCAGCATAAAGCTCATCCCACCCCATTTCCCGTCTTACCTGGAGTGGCCAGGGAGAAGAGGAGGAAAAGAGCGAAGAAAAGGTAGAGGAACTTCATGGCTGGAGTTGAGCTGGGATCTCAGCAAGGCTGGAGAGAGGAGAGCCAGAGACCTCAGAGGGAGGACGTGATGTACAGGCAGGCTGGAGCTGCTGGGTTTTATAGGGAATCTCCCTGAGGAGCAAAGGATGCTGGGGACACGCGGGAATTCATCCGAATCGTGCTGGACGTGCAGGGATGGCACAAGAACTCCCCAATTGTGCTGTCAGGCACCTCCTGTCTGCCCCAGATGTGGTTGCCCAACATCAGATAGGATCCCAGCCCTGACAGGAACACAAAGGAATGGGGGATGTTGATATCTGGGTCCTTGGGATGGGGCTGTGGGTCAGAGGGACCTGATGGAGATCTGTGGGTGCAGCAGGGAGAAGAGAACAAGATCAATATCAATATCAATATCAATATCAATATCACACAACTCCAGGCCTTTCCCAAGCTCTGGCAGGGATGCAGAGGGATGCAACAGGGCCACCATGCACTGATAACTCTGCCTGCATTGTCGAGGCTGACACCATGTGGGACTGATGGCCTGGAAAGGATCCCTGCTCTCTGTGTCTGCAAAATCTCCCTGATAAATTCAGCCAATGCTCAGGGTTGCAATGCAAAATCCCCCTGATAAATTCAGCCTTGGCTGTACCCTCTGAGAGATGGGTGGGTGGCAGCTCCAGGGAGCCTGGAGGAGACACTTTGATCATCACCTGGTCCCCACAGACTCCCCAGACAATCCTGGGCTTTCCAACAAGAGCCAAACTCTGCGAAGGAACTTTTCCAGCCCCAGCTCACTGGGCTGTTTAATAATTTGATAAACAGCCAGGGAAAGAGGCTGAAAGGACAAGAAGCTGCTTCAGAATTACTCAATATCATCAGACCTGAACCCTCAGAGTGCAGCAGGTGAATCTTACAACAACACAGGGCAGCAAAATGACAAATACTGAATCAGTGAATATTTGGGAAAATCTATAACCTCTGTACAAATGGGGATCTGAATTACCTAAAGCCAATTGGGAAGGAGTTTTGGGCATCCAGCATCCCCCTGTGGGATGTCACTGCTCATCTCCCCAACTCTGATGGCCTTTGGTAGGGAAAGGAGAGGTTAAAGATAGGTGGTAGAGCTGGGGACTTGTTTTCACAAAATTAAATATACTGGAACTTGTCAGCTCAGGGTAGAAACTTTGTGAAGGTGAATCACAAGCTGCAAATATTTTAGAGGCCTCAGCAGGACAGAACTGCAGTTCTGCAATTTTCCTAACTCAAGAAATAGGTAGGATATGAAGGTAAATTATGTATTTATGATAAAAGTAAAAAATAAAAAAAGTCCTCTTTCCCACTGAGGATAGCTGAAATGAGGAACTTGAACAAGAAATGCAAGAAGTTAAAATGCACTGAAAGGACAAATGTATCAAAAAAGCAATTTATAAATTAATGTAGCAGGTGCAAATTTAAAAATTAGGTGCAGAATCTCCTTGGGGCATTTGCCAAAGCTCATGTCACTGACTTCTCATCCTGGCCACCAGCAGATCCCCATTGCTGGATCTGAGTGCTACCATGTTTTCCATGTTTCCTGATCATAACTATTCCACTTTATTATTTTCTTTCTTTTTCTGGCAGGACACATCTTAACCACAAAATCCCAGAATCATTTAGTTGGGAAAAGCCCCTCTGAGATCCAGTCCAACCATCCCCCAGCACTGCCAAGGTCACTACTGACCCATGTCCCCAAGTGCCACATCCACATGGTTTTCAATGGGATGGGAACTCCACCACCACCTTGGACAGCCAATTTGAATTCTTGACCACACTTTGGGTAAATTAATTTTTCCCAATATCCCATCCAAACCTCCCTGGGGCACCTTGAGGCTGTTTCCTCTCCTCCTGTCCCTGTTCCCTGGGAGCAGAGCCTGACCCCCCTGGCTGTCCCCTCCTGTCAGGGAGTTGTGCAGAGCCACGAGGTCCCCCCTGAGCCTCCTTTTCTCCAGGCTGAGCTCCTTTCCAGCTCCTTCAGCCCCTCCTGGTGCTCCAGCCCCTTCCCCAGCTCTGTTCCCTTCCCTGGACATGCTCCTGCCCCTCAATGTCCTTCTTGTGAGGGTTCCAGAGGACTGGAGGTGCCCCAGCAGTGCCAGCACAGGGGACAGCACTGCCCTGATTCTTCTTGGTGACTCTGAGCCATTTTCTGAGCCCCTCTAAGCCCCTTCCCTGCTTTCCTGGAGCACACAATGGGATGGATGTATTTCCCAACGCCCATGGGTACAGCCTGTGTTTTCCAGACCCAGCTCTTGTTTGCACTTGTAGGACAATTGGTGCTGCTTTCCCAACACCCTGACTCGGCTCTCTGGTGCCTGCCTATGATTTAGTGCCATACAAATGATCCCTGCAGAGCAAGGAGCCAGAAACTCCTTGTTCTGTGTTCTCCAGCTCATTATCCTTGTCTGTAAAGGCAAGGGAACTTCCACTATTACTTAATGTATTTTTATGTATTATGGCTTTGGTATGAGGAGATACACTGGGTTTCTAATACTGTCCCTGAATGTTTTGCAGTCTTTTTCAACCTCTTATTTGTGAATTTTTGAAGCATTCTTTACAGAAAATCATGGAAATTTTTAGGCAGGATAGCACTGGAATCACAAGAGACTTCTGATCAAATGTGGTGTGGCAATTTCCTTAGCTTCCTTTACATATTTGCCTACATCCTTTTTATTCAGCATCATGGTCCTTTTGGAAAGATTACAGAAAAAAACAAAAACAAAAACAAACTAAAAAAGGCCTCTGGGCCAAATCAAAGTGATGAAATTCAGGCCAAGTGCAGGGTCCTGCCATGGGCTGGGGCAGCCCCCAGGATCAATCCAGGCTGGGGATGAAGGAGTGCAGGAGCCCTGGGAGAAGGACTTGGTGGTGCTGGGGGTGAGAGCTGGACATGACCCAGCCCTGAAATCCCCATGCCCGAGGGTGAAACCTCAGCTGGAGCATCCAGGGAAGGGAACAGAGCTGGGGAAGGGACTGGAGCACCAGGAGGAGCTGAGGGAGCTGGAAAGGGGCTCAGCCTGGAGAAAAGGAGGCTCAGGGGGGACCTTGTGGCTCTGCACAACTCCCTGACAGGAGGGGACAGCCAGGGGGGTCAGGCTCTGCTCCCAGGGAACAGGGACAGGAGGAGAGGAAATGGCCTCAGGTTGCACTAGGGGAGGTTTGGATGGGATATTAGGGAAAGTTTCTTCACTGAAAAAGTGATCAGGCAGTGGCACAGAGTGCCCAGGGCTGTGGTGGTGTCCCCATCCCTGCAGAATCCCAAAGGGATGTGGATATGACATGTGGGGACGTGGTTTAGAGGTGAACACAGTGGTGCCAGCTTCACTGCACTCAGGGATCTCAGAGGGATTTTCCCACCTTCAGGATTCTGTGATTCTATAAGAAGGATGTGGAGATGTTGGACTAAGTCTAGAGGAGGGCCATGGAATTGATCACAGAACTGGAGCCCCTCTGCTCTGGAGTCAGGCTGGGAGAGCTGAGGGTGCTCACCTGGAGAAGAGAAGGATCCAGGGAGAGCTCAGAGCCCCTTCCAGGGCCTAAAGGGGCTCCAGGAGAGCTGGAGAGGGACTGGGAACAAGGCATGGAGGGACAGGACAAAGGCTGAAGGAAGGAAGATTTAGATGGCATATTGGGAAGGAATTGTTCCCTGTGAGGGTGAGGAGGCCTTGGCACAGGTTTGAGAAGCTGTGGCTGCCCCTGGATCCCTGTAACTGTTTAAGTCCCGGTTGGACAGGGTTTGGAGCACCCTGGGACAGTGGAAGGTGTCCCTGCCCATGGGAGGAGGTGGGACTGGATGAGCTTTAAGATCTCTTCCAACACAAACTGTTCTAGGATTCTGTTCCTTGGCTCTTGGATCCTCAGTGCCAGAGCACTGGTCAGGGTTGGATGCTCCATCAAACCACTGGGGAATGGATCTGACTCTTCATTGTGTCTGTGCCTTGCAGACAGTGCCCAGAGCTTATCAGGAGCCATCCCAGGCTGAATTCCAGCTGCCCTGGGAGCAGCTGTGCCCATGGGCAGCCCCAAGAGCCGGATCTGGAGAGCAGGAGCAGCCCCACGTTCCCATGGAGCACAGCCTGGCTGCCAGGGCCCTTTGTGAGAGGGCCCAGTGGGGCAGGGTGACACTGCACAGCCTGCAGAGCAAACAACAGCCCTCTGCAGGTGACTTTGCCTGCCCAAGGTTCTCCTCTGGCCGTGCTGCTGGTGGCCAGAGTCCCTCTATAAAACCTCTGCCCTCAGACACCTTGGACACCTCAGATCCTGTGTACCAAGGTCTCCCCTGGCCTCCAGCCATGAGGGTGCTCTGTGTGGTCTTTGCTGTGCTCCTGCTTTTCTCCCTGGCCACCCCAGGTAAGAGAGGAAGGTGTGGAGGTGGAGAAATTGGGGTAAGCTGTGTCCTCTGCAGCCTCTGTGCCTCAGGGGGAGGGAGGGGATTCATTGCTGGGGTGGTGGGATCAGGGCCCTGGTGATTTATTCAGCTTGGAGTTGGGATGGGGTGATGCCACACTGCAAATCCCATCTCCCATCCTCGTGCAGAGGGATTCAACATGAGTAAAGGGATGCTTTGTAAGTGCCCAGCTATCCTCCAGCTCAGTGGGGACATGAAATGCATCCTGTCCTGGATGGGGTACCCAGAGCATCAGTACCACCTTGGAACAAGCAAGGAGAGAACTCCAGGTGCTCTGCCCTCCTACATATCTGTGAAAAACGCCAAACACTTGTTTTTAAAAGTTTAATAGTAATAAAATGGTTATAAAAATAGTAATACAATTAGAGTAATAATAATTTGGACAATTTGAATTAGGACAATATGAGACAATATAAACAAAGATGTCCAGGTACCTTTTTCTGGGCAACAGGAGCCCGAAAAAGGACACAAATTAACAAAGGATTAACCCTTAAAAGCAACAGCCTGTTGCATATTCACACATTTCATACCTGATGCATAAATTCCATTCAAACACAGGATTCTGTCTCGTCATCCTCAACTTCTTCCTCTGAACCCTAACAGCGCCTTCGAGGTGGGAAGAAATTAATTTCTTCTGATAAGAGGACCATAAATTCTTTTTCTATGAAAGATTTAGGTGTCCTGTGGCTGCTATCTCACTGTGAGTCTTTTCTTTAAAAAAAAAGTATCCTACAAAGCATAGTTTCTATTTTAGCATTTTGTTATAACCTAAAACTATATTTAACATGCTACTTAAGAGAATTAATCCAGCATTACTTTCTAACACAACACATATAATATTCATTTGAATATTTGTGAAAAGCCAATCACAAAATGCTCATTTTTCACAATGTCCATGATTTCCTCCATAACCCCCCTCTCTGTCTCTTCCCACCGCAGGGCAGGGGCAGCCCAAGGGATTTTGTGACGGGTACTGTGCCCACGCCTGCGCCGAGACCGAGGAATGGTCCTTCAGCCCCTACTGCGAGGAGCTGCACTGCTGCATCCCCGCTCCCAAAAAGGGCAAATGACCCTGCAGGAACCCAGCCCCGCAGCCCTGGAGCTCCTGGTGATGTGCCCAGGGCGCGGCCAAGGCGGTCCTCAGTGCTTTGAAGTAAAGATGGGCAGATAAGATGGTTTCTGCATGCTGTGATAAACTTATTTCTGTGTGCTGTGATAAGATTATTTCTGTGTGATGAGTTCTGTGTGAGGGATGGGACAGCCAAGAGAAGTTGGCAGCCAGATTTCCCTGGAGAGTGGTCACAGACACACCCCTGGCAGCCCCAAAGCCCTGACACCAAAATGCCAGCCAGAAAAAGCAAAGGTTTTGGGGTTTTCAAAGCAGAGTGGTGGTAAAGGCTGGGAGGAGGCTCATTGCTTAATCCAGTGTTTAATCCAGTGCCTCCCTCCTCCACAAGCTGAATCCCAATTTATTTGGAGGGGGCACAACAGCCCCATCATTCCCATTCCCCATCAGAACCCTCTGCACTGGGATTCTCAGTCCCTTGGAGAGGTGGGAATGGAAGACAAACAGCACCACCTTCCCCTTGCACCCCAAAATCCCATTCCTGGGGTGCCCACGGAGCCACCAATGCAGCCACTGAGGCTTTGGGGGTGACCTGGACACCCTCACCAAGTTTCTTCTCAGCAGAGTCTGTCACCAGATTATTGCATGGGGGTCATTCCAGATTATTCCATGGGGGTCACCAAGAACAGGAGAACAGCTGAGGATTTCCTCAGTATCCCCTTCCCTGCCCCATTCCCTATGGGATCACCCAATCACTCCAGGTTTTCTGCAAGGGGACACCAGTGTAGGGTGGCTCAGAACACCCCACAAACACTCCAGCAACACTGGAGGCTAGGATGTTTGTGTCCTAAAGGGCCACAGGGCAGAAATCAGCTCTGTTTCTCTGAAACCCTGCAGGAAATAAAGGAACTTTCCAGCCCTGGGGCCTTGCAAATACAGAAAAAGGCTTTGCATGGGTATTTGTGGGGCTGGACGGTGCTGCAAGAGAAGAGAGAGGGTACAGACCTCTCCCTCTTGTGGGATGATTCCCAATTTCTTTAGGAGGAAGGGCTGTGTCCCTCTCCTCAGCAGCATCCTTTGTGACCAGCAGAGATCTTGGCACATGGAGTTGGAGGTAAAAGCGATTTCTACCTCAGAATAATTAATATATTTGTCCAAAATTCCCATTTTCCAGGATGCATGGGGCTGCTTGTGCCTCTGAACATGCATCATGAGGTGCTCCAAGGGTTTTGTGACCACCCTCGTCTGAATGAGTGTCCCTGGAAATTTTGGGGCAGACAGGTAGAAAAGGAAAAAAGGGACCAAGTTTATGCTCCTTTATTTATCTTTAGGATAAAATTTTCATCCTCGGGATAACCTGAAACATTTTATCAGCTGAAAGACTGACCAGGGATACAGGAAACCTGATAAGGCTGGGGGATTTCCTGGGTATGGAGAAGAGGACTGTCTTCACAGACTGGGTGAGATGCTGGGTGTGAGGGGGTTAAAATTCAGATTACAGAGGTTGAGGTCTGGCAGCAGGCAAAAATCCCATTGATACAGGATGGCCCATAAAGAGTCACAGATTTTGTCAAGATTCACCTGAACCCAGACAAGAAGACACAAAAGATGGAAAATTCACCTAAACCAGCCCTGAGTTGGTGACACTTCACAGACACACAAAGCTGAAAGTTTGATTAAAGAATAAAAATTCCAGAAGGAAACATAAAAAAACATTAAAAACTTATTTTCTGTTTCTTTCTTTTTTATTTTTTTTTTCCCTAGGAATTGTGAGAGTGAAAAGAAAGTGAATGAACTAAATGGGGTTTGGGTGGGATGAAACTACCTAAAAATGTCACTTACAACCCAAATTATTCTGTGATTTCATGATATTATAAATTCCAACTATGCCAAGAAGCAGATTCATATCCTGGAAAGAACCTTTTATAGGAGAAATTTGTTGAATATCTATTTGTTATACCCATGAATTACCGGGTTTATTACTGAATTTCTGAATATTTATAATATCTATTTATTATACCCATGAATTACTGGGTTTATTACTGAATTTCTGAATATATATTCTGAATTACTGAATTTCTCATATTTAGAGGGAGAAAACATCATTCACTGGGCTTGGTTCAAAGTTATCCCCTGGGAGAGCACCTGCAACCCAGATCCCACAGAACTCACACTCCATTTTATGTTTTACCACATTTTTTTCTTTTTCAGGGCAGCAGGGCATGGAAAGGCCACTGCTTCTGCCCTCAATTTCAATAAAGAAGTGATATAAAAATGGGAGAATTGTCAAAAAGGAGGCAAAAGGTGCAGCTAAAAGAGTTAAATGCTTGCAAATAGATTCTTTGCAAGCACCTGGGGAGGTGTTTAAGGCCACTAAGAAGGAGACTCAGGGAAAATCTATGAAAATACTATAAAAAAACAAAAGGCCTGAGAAAGCAAAAAGGGAAAGGTCACAGCAGAACAGTGGGATGAGGGAGGTTGTTAAATTGTTGAAATTGTGGCCAAACATGGAAAATAGAAAAGATAATAAACTGGGCCTGACAAAGTATAAAACACAATAAGGCAGCTCAGCAGAGAATTGCAGGAAGAGCTGAAAAAAGTGAGGAAACCTCCTCAAATCAGATTTTCTTTCTTTTTCCAAACACATTGTGAACGTGAAGCCTGACAAAAAGTGTGGTCAGGGAAATAAAGTTAATTAAAGCTCAGGCCACTCCACAGGAGCTGAATGAAATATTTACATTGGTTCTCACCTGGCCAGAAAGAAGAGAGGCCTTGATGCTGAGCCCTCCTTTGGGGGGACTCTTCAAAGGGGAGATCCTGGCAGATCCTCATTGCCTTAAATGTAAAAGCTGTGGAAGAGAAGAAAAAGCAGCAACAAATCACCGTGACCCTGATCTTTTCCCTCAAAATAAATAAAAAAGAAAGAAAAAAAAAGTCTGAAAGGAATTAAGGGATGAAACAGCCACTGCTGTGTGTGATCCCTGCAGCCTGGAGAGGAGAAGGATCCAGGGAGAGCTCAGAGCCCCTTCCAGGGCCTAAAGGGGCTCCAGGAGAGCTGGAGAGGGACTGGGGACAAGGCATGGAGGGACAGGACACAGGGAATGGCTTCCCACTGCCAGAGGGCAGGGATGGATGGGATATTGGGAAGGAATTGTTGTCTGGGAGGGTGGGGAGGCCCTGGCACAGGGTGCCCAGAGAAGCTGTGGCTGCCCCTGGATCCCTGGAAGTGTCCAAGGCCAGGTTGGATGGGGCTTGGAGCAACCTGGGATGGTGGAAGTTGTCCTTGCCCGTGGCAGGGAGTGGGACTGGATGGTTTTTAATGTCCCTTCCAACCCAAACCATTCCATGATTCTGTGGTCTGTTTCTCAAGAAGGTTTTGCTGTGCAAAGATGGGACATGGTAATTTGATAAGGAAAAAAAATCCTAATGTGTCCTATGGGTTGGCAAACCAGGATTTTACCAGTCTTAAATACAATAACAAGGCGGGGGGGGGAACACAGGAAATCAGGAAAATTCTGTTTTAAAACCAAAGGACAGGGCCCAGCACTTTGGGGCTGAGCTGCAGGAGAGGGAGGTAAGAGGAGCATTGTGGGGGGAATCAGCAGGAAATTTGATCATAAAACAATCTGGAAAAGGGATGGGAGGGAATGGAAAGATGCCTCGTTGAGGGTGATAAAGGTGAAGGCTGAAGAAGGACCCGGCTTGGGTTTGGGGGTGTGACTTCTCCCCTGGCAGGTGAAATCCAGGAGGATGTTGTGAGGAAAAATATCACCCTGATTTTTAAAGATTTTCTGAGCCTTCTGATGTTTACATTCTTGTAAGGAACTTTCTCACACACTTTATGTAAATAACTCATGGTTTTGCATTCTTTTATGGAGGAGGAGAAATTTGATGGACTGTGATTGGCCATTAATTAAAAACAACTACATGAGATTAATTAAAAATGCACTGTTGCATTCCACAGTAGCAGATAATCATTGTTTATATTTCATTTCTGAGGCCTCTCAGCTTCAGGAGAAAAAAATCCTAGCAAAAGAATAAAATTTCATATTATGATTTTTCATAAAATATGTCCGTGACAGAAAAACCCAAGTTGTAGGGGAAAATCCAGCTCATTTTCCATGTGGAGTTCATGGCTCCATGTGGGTTATTTGATTGTAGAGACTGGGAATGCAGGAGCAGGAGAGAACAGGGAGCACCAGCATCACCACACTGAGCTGTTTGCTAAACCTTGGGAATTCCAGCCACACATTGTGGGACACTTTACTTGCTCTCCTTTTCTTTATTTTTATTTTTTTTTTTTTAATTTTCCCATATGTTTTCTGTTCCCATGACAGGGAATATCCCTGTGAAAGGAGAAGGAAAAGCTGGAGGCACCTTGTGACCACTCAGGGAGTGAAACCTGGATGTGCTGAGCCTTCAGCCTCCGTCTCACCTGGAAAAAACCCTGCTGGGCCATTTGTTTTTGCTGTTTTCTCTGCTCAGGAAGGTCCCAGTGTTTACAAAGAGGCAGTGCAGACTCTGCCCTGCTCGCTGCCTGTGCCTGTGTGTGGGTGGCAGTGACAGGGAAGCAGATGGGCACATTAGCAGGAATCACTGGGGCAGACATTCCCCTTCCTCTCTCTCTCCCAGGGCAGATGCACTGACTGTCACCACAAGGAAAGACACATCTTTAAAATGTGTAGCACCAGGCAATATGGGAGCTCCAGATTTGTAGGGAAAGCAGGTTTTTTGTCTTGCTTTGTTTTGTTTTTTGCTGCCCTGTGTGGCTTTTCCTTTAAAGATGTTTCTGTTGAAGTCTTATTTCACTGAGAATAAGATATCGAGGAAAACAGAGGAAAAAAGAAACTTACAACCAGAATCCAATCAATTGTTGCGAAATCCTGGAATGGTTTTGGTTGGAAGGATCTTAGAGTTCATCCCATTCCCACCCCTGCCATGGGCAGAGACACCTTCCACTATCCCAGGCTGCTCCAAACCCCATTCAACCTGGCCTTGGACACTACCAGGGATCCAGGGGCAGCCACATCTTCTCTGGGCACCCTCTGCCATTGCCTGCAGCTTCCAGAAGCAGGACTCAGC